TACCCTCCCTTCACTCCTGGTGTGCTGTGGGGTTATTAGGATTGGTTTCTGCCCTCCCTTCTGGGCATTGGCCACTGGAATCGGCGTGTCCTGCAGTGGGAATGGTGGCTGCATGACATTGTTTTGCATCATAAAATTGACGACCGATTGCAGGTCTGCCAACTTGTTTGCCATCTCTTTCACTTCTTCGTCCCTTCGCAGGCATCTATCCTTCCATATCTGGAGGTCGTCCTCGTTGTCGTATACGCTTCTATCTAGTTTCTTTGGCACGTCGCTATTCTGGCCGACGTCTTTCTTACTATGATTCTGGTTCTAAGTCTCCTCATTGTGACCATCTTCCTCCGTGTTTGGGTCTACGTGTTTTCCACTCCCAGTAGGGATTTCGTCCCCAACCTTATCCTTCTGTCCGTCGCTGACCATCTATTCTCCTTTCTTTTCCACAGACGGCGCCAAATTGCGTGTGTCAATTTCCGACCACACTGCTAGCTTAGTATTCAGCTAGAGAGCATTGGCAGAATAGATGGCACCTGGCTGACCTGCAACAGAAAGAGAAGATTCCGATGGTGGTTCATCTAACCGGGGGCACGCCGACGATCAAGTCAGTATATCTCTCAAAGATAATCAATAGTGCTAAACTCACAGTTCAAAATATAAATTGTGTACCTTAGACCCATCGGGGGTGCCTTTCTTTTATAGTTAACTTAATCCTAGTCCCCATAGAAGCCTAGCTTTAATGGACTTCTGCTCAGTGCTTATCCTGAACTCTCCAAGAGATAAAGATAATCTCCCTAAGAGTGTTATCCTTATCCATGCTAAAGTCCTTCCTCATTCTAGGACTCTTGTCCCTTATTCGCTTATCTCAGATTCCGATATCTTCGGAGATAACCTCGGCCTAACCGAGATCACCTCGGTGTCATAACCTGGACACATGGCACCTCGGCTGACACGTCGGCATCACCTTGGCCATGTGTTGTGACTTAGAAAATATATCCCCACACTTCTCCTCAGGTACACATGTTAACTTATCAATGCTTGGTTTCACCACTATCAAGACCAAACGGATTGTACAATTTGTTGATTGGTGGATTATAATGGCATTAAGAAGAAAATTAGAGAAATAATTAAGGGTAATTTAGACTTTTTACAATTTCTGTTACATCTGTCCAAAATTGCACTTTGATATGAAGTATAGGGGTTTAAGTGTTACAAATGAAACTATAGGGGGGCTCCGTGTTTTTTGGAAAAACCACAAGGGGTTAAGTTATAGTTTACCCAAAAAAAAATAACATGTGCATTGCACAGGTCAACTCCTAGTTTTTAATAAAAACAATATACATCAGTGACAAGACTTTTTTGAGAAGTAGGTTAGAAATTAGTTTTTTTGACTTTTTTTTGAAGTAACGTGTAAAAAAGTAGAAAGATAATATGACTTAAAAAAAATCAAAAAGTCAAAAAAATTGATTTTTACCCACTTGCCAAAATAAGGAAAACTATATATCATTAATAATTAAAATTTAAAATTTTTTTATGTGTTTATAAATATTTTTTAGGAATATTTAGTTTAACATTCCTCTCCAATTTTTAATAATGGAAGAAGTCTATAATATATATTTTTTTATACTCTAAGATCCTTCACCTATTTATGGGTCTATATCTCAGCCACACCCTCTCTCTCACTCTCTCTCTCTCTCCCTTTGAACTCTGTCAATGGCAACTTCGACAAAAATTCGCGAGGTTTTCTAGTTAGTGTACTCAGTAGTCACCATAGTGTTCACCGGCACTGCCGATTTTGTCGGAACCCATGTCTTTGCCGCCCTGAAATGCCGTGGGGACAACATCCTCGGACTCGACAACTTCAACGATTACTATGACCCTTCATTGAAACGAGCTCGACAAGCTTTTCTTGAACACACTGGTGTGTTAATTGTTTAAGGAGATATCAATGACATTGCTCTTTTGAAGAAGCTGTTTGAGGTAGTTACTTTTACTCATGTAATGCATTTGGCTGCTCAAGCTGGTGGGAAAACCTAACTCTTATGTTCATAGCAACCTTGCTGAAGGTTTAGTTTGTTTACTTGAAGTATGTAAATCTGCCGATCCATAACCTTCAATTGTTTGGGCATCTTCTAGCTTTGTTTATGAACTTAACAGACCAACCTACTATCAAATAAGAGAAATTTCAAGCTGAAAATTTTTTGAAAACACAGTAAATCAGAAAACACAGAATTTTATCTAAAATTTCTTTGTGTTTTGAAATTTTTCTAAATCAAAATTTCCCTAGATCAAAATTTGAGGAGGCTAGAGAAGGTTGCAGAGGAGTTTATTAAGAAGAATGAGAGAAAATTGATCATGGATATTTCTCTAGTTTGGTATAAATTGATTGTAAAGAGTGGGTGCTAGCGTTTGGGATGAATTTTCTTGTGATTATGTGCTTTTGTATAAACTGGCGGTAAATATGTTGTAAGCTTTTGTCAATTTGTTTATTATATGTATTATTCCTTTTTGTATTAATTGATTCAAAACATAATTTTATCTGGTTTGGTCAAAATATAAAGAAAATTATGGGTAAATTAGATAAAATTGAGAGAAAAATAGTCAAAATATAGAGAAAATTGTGAGCAAACTAGAGAAATTTCGACCTAAAGAAATTTCAAAAAATAGAGAAAATTTCAAAACACAGAAAAATCAAAGAACTTGAGCAAACCAGAGAAATTTCAAAATACAAAAATTTCATTTTGAAATTTCTTTAGATCCAAATTTCTTTAAAAAATATTGAGGGACCCCCACCCATTATAAAAATATTGTATGTCCTTTATTTTATAAAATCTTAATACCAGGGATTTTAAAAAAAAATTCCTATTTTTTAATATACCATTAAATAGTAATTCTTCCCAAATTATTTTACATTTTAAAAAGTAATATTTCATTTTAAGAAAATGCTAAAATTAACTTTAAGAGCGACTGTTGTTAGTATTAAAAAAAAGAAATTGATATATAAGTCCACTTTTTAAAATAATTTTATAGATATAATGATGTATAAGTGATATGATTGATTGATGATTAGAGAAGATATAAGAGAGAGTATTAACATCCTAATTGATTGTCACATCATTAGATTTGAAAATTATTTTAATTTTTAGTCTAATTGAGTCTAATTGTGTAAATTTTTTTGAAATATATGGAAAGTGTATTGAAATTATAAATTTTTTGATATGTTGTAGTTGGACCCTTCCATTTATTTACTGACTAACATTTAACATATTTTATATTTATTTTTTCAATATGAAAAACAAGATTGACATTTAACACATTGTTTCATAAAGAGTTGGATATTGTCCGGCAATATATGGTTCATCACAGGTTCTATTTTTATAATTTGAATTGCTTAATTTATTGTATTTGTCTTTAAAAAAATAGAGAATAAGGGCATTTTTAAAAATAGACAATCTTTTTTTTGTTTTTTTTTTTAGAGAGAAACATAATAAATTAAATATGTTATAATTATCAGATTAATTTAAAATAAATAATTAAAATTATGAGGAGTCCCACATGTCCGAACAACAACCATCTGTCTTTCATAAAATTCTAACACAAACATGATGATTGTTTGACTTAAATAAATAATTGTTAGTTTAGAGTACCACATGAATTTGGTCCAACAACAATAACTAATTTTTCATGTGGCTAACAAGAAATTATCTTATAAGTTTGGCAATAAATCAGTTTGTTTCTTAGGTAGTGTTTAATAACGTTTAAATTTTTTTTTGTTTATGTTTAAAAATTTTATAAATTGGTTTTTATTTATTTTTTAAAAAATATAAACTACAAACGTGTTTAATTTAAATAAAATATTTGAAAAATTTTAAAAACATAAATTAAAAAATATGTTTGTTCATGCCTAAAGTATTTATATTTATATTTTATTATTTATGACAATAGAATCACACACATTATAATTGAAAAAAAAAAGTAATTAAAAAAAATTAATTGAAAAAAAAATTATTAGTCAAAATTTTAAATTTCTATTTAAAAATCAACGTAAACTCATTTTTTGAGTTTACATTTTTTTCTCAAATTTATAAACTGAGATAACCATTTATAAATCAAAAAAATTATTATACAAGTTTTTATGACATTTTTTTAAAATTTTATAAATATAAATTAAAAATTGAAAATGAAATAATTATCAAACACGCCTTTAATCAGAATTATTTTTTAAATAATTTTGTTTATTTCATAAGATGTAAAAAATTGTATATGTATATTCTACTTGCCTTCTAGCGCTTTTGGTAAGCCCCACACCAGCTTCAGTGACTAAAGAAAGAGAAAAACAACGTCGCCTGAGAGATTCGAACTCTCGCGGGGAAACCCCATGTACTTAGCAGGCACACGCCTTAACCACTCGGCCAAAGCGACAGCTATAGAATTGGGGAGGCATATAAACAATATATAAACTAAAGTTGATGTAAGAACTGAGTCTTCAGGGTGAAATTGCTAACAAGTAACAACTTATAATAAAGTTGTCCGTACATAAAGTTTTAAAAAAAAATTAAGAAATTGCTAACCAGTAACAACTTATAATAAAAATAATAAAATATATGCTTTTATAAAAAATTAAAAAATAATATCTTAAACAATGCATGTGTAGTGTCATGGTTTATTATAGACAAATAATATATATATATATATTTAGATAAGTAGTTATTAGAGATTGTAAAAGTTATAAATTATAATTTAAAAAATACCTAAAATTTGTAAAGTCTAAATCACCAAACTAATTGTATCCATCTGTCAACTTGCATGATCTATTCAATCCAAATTTGCCAAATCAATAAATGGATACGAGTTAATTTTTTTCAATCCACCTAAGTTTAAACGAATTGCGGATGATATGCTTTTCCACCAACTCGATCCACCTAATGAGTCTATATATTTTGAGATTTTTTGTTTATTTTATAATTAAAAAAATAAAAAATAAAAAATAAGGCAATTCGGATCTCTGGGATTTGGAGCTTGAGGTGTTTGTAGAGGCCGTTTTTAGTCCTTGGGTTAATGACAGGAGGAGAAGAAACATATGGCTCCGACGAAGAAAGGCAAGGCTAAGTGTAACCCGGCCGAGACGACTCAGTCTCATCAGCATGCCGCCTCTGTAAACCCCAAAATCCCGTCATGCCTTCGTTTTCTTCCTCCTTCTTCCGTCGCCATCACCATCCACGCCAAGCCCGGCTCCAAACTCGCCACCATCACTGGTTCTCTCTCTCTCTCACTCTCTCTCTCCATATGTATAATGCACATATAAATACAAAATAAGGTTTTTGAAGGTTTCCTATAAATTCAGATTTCAGCGACGAGGCATTAGGAGTGCAAATTGACGCCCCTCCAAAGGATGGTGAAGCTAACGCCGCTCTTATTGACTACATTAGCTCTGTAAGTCTCTCTCTCTCTCTCTCTCTATATATATATATATATATGTATATCAATTCTATATTACCTGTATGCATACATATATGTGTTTTTATCTATAGGTAAATTAGAGATTTCTAAATGCTATCTAACCAAACAATTGGGCTTGGAGAAATTGAAGCAGAGTTACCCGTGTTTGATTGGGTATTGGAACGTCCAGTCTCTGTGCATATTAATGGTTTGATTTAATGTTCATATAATCCGTTTCAGTCTTATTAGGAAGTGGGAATTAAATAAATGTCAGAAAATTGTTTTATTGGAACATTTTGCTTGTTCATTGGAATATGGAAATACTTGATACATTTCTTTGTGTATGCTCTGATATAGCGTCAGAGGTGGAAGGAAGGGTGGGTTATTTTACCTTTTTTAGGGAGACTAGAGTGTCCTCTTTTCATTCAGACCGAACAAGATCTAAACTCTTTTGCTACAAACGGGACTTTATTAAGATCATAGAGCACACAACATTTTGTCTAGGAACACACATCATCCCAATTGGCTTAGCTGTTGTTTCCTATCCTCACCAATGGGTCCTAAGAAATTTCGTTTTGATCTTATCTATTGTACCAAACATAGATATGGACATGCTGTAATTGTACGAGTTGTAGTCTTATTGATTAGCCTCTAGAAAACTATCTCGGGAAACCCAGGGGGTCTAGAATTTTTGGAATTCAGTGGTGGGGAGGTTAACAAGACAAAAATGACTTATAATAGTGACTACTTCACCTTAAGTTAGGATTACGATTAGCATGTACTAGACAATACTTCTTATTATCTTTCGTTGGAGGTCCATTTTATGTACTTATATGACATTAAGCCCCGCTTAATGTTTTTTAATGCGTGAAATCTCACACCGAGTCAAAAAACTTTAAATACTTATCACTAAAAATCAGAGTCATACGAGACTCCCTGTAGTGTGAAGGTGTGCTACCTGTTGTCCAGAATAAATCCCATCCAAACAATGGAAGCAAATAAAATATAAAATGGTCACAAGAAAATAAGAACAAAGATTTTATGTGGTTAAGCAAATTGCCTACGATCACGGTGAGTGAGAAGCAATCCACTAATAGTAGAAAATTACAATGGTGAGACAAATACAACTCCTTGGTGTCTCCCCTCCCTCTCTCTTGGGTTATTGCTCTCAACCTCACACCTCCACAAAGGATACACATTGTCATCACACAATACACACTATTTTGTTCCTCATGTATGAAACCCATTGTGTATTCCCTTTGACCAGTGTATATTTCTCTCTGTGTATCACTTCACTCTCTTACATACTAAGCCACATCACATCCCTTTTATAGATACACCATACACTGCTTTTTGATCTCCCAAAGCTACAACACACCTCATAAATCTAGACATGAGATAGACCAACTTCCCCAAGCCAAAGACAGCTACTTGTCATCACCAAATATAGGTAATCATTTGACACGTATTTATGCACTGTTCACTTTTCATGTTCTCAGCTCTTTGGATGATCAAGTGCTCCAATTTTCAAGACTAACAATATTTCTTCTTCCAAAAATTAGCTTCCAGAGAAAAACATGCATGGCTTTCCTAAGAAAAATATGTATACAATTCACCTTCCGAAGTCTGCTGTAGCAGGCCCAATACACACACACAAAAACAATATATACCAAATTTGAACCGTACAAACCTCCAAGAAAAACTATTTATTTATTTTTCTATGGATAGAACAACCCAACAATCACCCCTTCTGTCCATGAGAAAAATTATTGTGTTTGCACCACCTCATTCGGGTGCTAATTCAAAAACAGTAACCATGTTCTTTGCAAATGAGACCATTTTCTTGATGGACACTACCTCAAATTTTCCTATTTTTTGCCCGAAAATTCCTTGTGAATAATTGGTTGCTTCCTACCATTTTTGTAGTTTTTTTGACTTCACACTTGTATACCCATCCGCCTTTGTACAACTTGCTTGTTTGCTTGGTGTTTGACGGTAGTCATGATTATCAAAATCCCATTCCGGATCTACGACTCTAGTTGGGCTAAACGATTCAGATCAAACTAGGATTTTAAATTTAGTAGGATCTTAAAAGTGACTACAATCCTAGTCATAAAATCGTGTAGAATCGCACTACGATCCTGATTTTACTATGATCCCGATCTTACCAAAAAAAAAATCCTATCATTTATTTCTTATATATGTATGTATTTATGTATATCTATATAAGAAATTTGACTATAAATTCTTTTTACAACCATCTCTTCTAATTTATGATAACATAAAAGATGTATTATATCAAATTAATCATTTTTCTTTAATGATTTTACAATTATTTAACATACATTGCCATTGTAGATAATTTATCATTTTATTTTACATTAAAAGTAGAATCTTACGATCCTCAATCTGATTCTACGATCCAAGCCATAAGTCCTTTCCAACGATCCTACTTAGAACCCCGATTTTAACAACCTTGATGGTAATACCTTGTGTCATAACAACCCCTTCAAGAAAATAAAGATTTCCAAACATTTTTTCCTTCCAACACCGTTCTACTTCCTTACAAATACCAAGGGCTCCAACTCTTGATGAAAACTTGCAACCATTAGAATCCAATATACTGAGAGATATTAAATGTTTTCTTAAACCGGGCACATGCCTAACCTCGGTTAAGGTCACAACTCTTACATCAAGCAAGCGAAATTGAACCGTGCCAATAACAACCTTGTTCAATGTATTGTTAGCCATCCTAGTAGTGTTAGCATTGCATGCTTGATAAGAAGTAAAAACTTTTGGGTTGCACACATGAAAAGGACATCCAGAATCAAGTATCCAATCCGAATTTTTCGTACTTGAATTTGGGAAAACCGCATACAACTCATCTTCATTTTGGTTGGAATCCACCACTGCCGTAGAGTTCAAAGACTTTTCCTTCTCCTTTTCCTCCTTGAGTTTCCAAGAAACTTGACCACATGACCCTCCTTGTCACAATAGTAGTACTTTTCATGTAACCCCTTGATTGTGAGCGGCCCCTTGATTGTGAACGTCTCCATGACTGCTTGGCTCCACCATGCTTTTCCATTGTTCTCCCTCTAGCCGGACCATCATCTGATGACACCAAAACCCTTTCACTTGAACTTTTCTCGCTTTCTCTCTTCATCAGTCTCATGGGATATGAGAGCCATGACCACCTCATCAAGCTCAAGATTGTCCTTCCTGTACATCAACATGGTGCTCAAATGCTCAAATGATGGAAAGATACCAACAAGAGAATTGCCTAATCCTCTTCTTGGATTTTTGCACTGATAATATCCAACTCTGTCAAAGTTTAGTTGAACTCATCAAGATGCTTTATAAAATTCGCACCTTCCCTCATTTGAAGGGCGTACAGTTGTTTTTTCAAGAATAACAGATTTGTAAGTGACTTTGACTGGTACCTACTCTTCAACTTCGGCCAAAGCTCCGCCGGATCACTTTTGGTGATAACCTCCCTACGTGTGTTATTCCTCAAATATAATTAGTTGGTTCTATTGGCCCTTTTTCTCTTGCCACTTCTCCATCATATTTTCCCTCATAACCTCGCCTTGATATAAGTTCTTAGGAATAAATTTCACCCAAGCAATGGAAGCAAATAAAATAGTCACAAGAAAATAAGAACATAGATTTTACATGGTTCGACAAAATGCCTATGTTCACGGTGAGTGAAAAGCAATCCACTAATAGTAGAAAATTACAATGGTGAGACACCTTGGTTTTTTCCCACACCCCCCTCACTGTTATTGCTCTCAGCCTCACCCCACAAAGGATACCCACTGTTTTTTTTTTTTTTTTGATTGGCACTGGGGTGTCCGGATCAAAGCCTGACTAATCCCCAGGGGTACACAGGCCCTCGACAAGGAGTTTCTCGCAAGTGCACCACGGTTAATTCAAAGGTTGACCCCTAGTCTGATGGCCTCAAGGAATTGTTAGCATCCAAGAAGTTTCAAACCCTGAATCTTAGAGGGAGCACACCCCCAAGACCTAAGGCCTTGGCACCAGGCCAACCCCTTGGGGTTACAAAGGATACCCACTCTTATCACACAATACACACTATTTTTTAGCTCCCGTGCAAAGCCCACTATGTGTATTCCCTTTAACCCATGTATATCACTCTCTGTATATCACTTCACTATCTTACACACTAAACCACATCACATCCCTTGTATAGATACACCATGCTTTGCTTTTTGCTCTCCCAAAGCTACAACACACCTCATAAATGTAGACATGAGAAAGACTAAAAAAAACCCTTTGGACTTCCCCAAGCCAAAGACAGCTACTTGCCATCACCAAATATAAGTAATCATTCGACAACATTTATGCACTATTCATTTGTAATGGCCTCAGCTCTTTGGATGATCAAGAGCTCCAATTTTCTAGACCAACAATATTTCCTCTTCCAAAAATTAGCTTCCAGAGAAAAACTTGTATGGCTTCCCCCAGAAAATTAGATGTGTGGAGGATGGTTTTTAATGGGTGTTCATAGGGGTGTATGGACTTGCTTAATTTGTGGAGCAGCGGCTGTTTCTAGAGGAGTTAGAGAGTGTTTCTTTTCGCTGGGCATTGTCATGGTGTGTGGGCGGCGACTTCAATATGGTGCGGTGGCCGACGGAAAGGTCGGGAGGGGGTCGTTTGATGGGTATCATGTGAGTTTTTTCGGATTTGATTGATGAGCTGCGTTTGTTGGATTTTCCTTTATAGGGGGGGATTACACGTGGTCTCGGGGTCACGTCTTTTCTCGGATTGATTTTCAGGGGCAGTTCAGCGGCGTCTGTCTAGGCTAGTGTCTGACCATTGGCCTATTTTGTTGGATGGTGGGGGTATTTGGAGAGGCCCTTCGCCCTTTCGTTTTGAGAATATGTGACTTCGTTCTGATGGGTTTGCAGATAGGGTAAGGCAATGGTGGGCAAGTTATGTTGTGTTTGGATCTCCAAACCATAGGCTAGCTCTGAAGTTAAAAATGCTGAAGGCGGATTTGAAACAATGGAATAAGGAGGTTTTTGGTCATTTGGATGGGCAGAAGGAGGAGGTGTTGGCTCAATTGTAGGTATTGGATTATGTGGAAACTGATGTGGGTTTGTCTGATGAGGAGGTGGTTCATAAGGAGCTCTTGCGGGCTGATTATGTTCGGATTGCTCAGATGGAGGAGGTTAGTTTTAGACAGAAATCGAGGTATTTGTGGTTGAAGGCAGGGGAGCGCAATACAAGTTTTTTCATCGGATGGCAAATGCCCATCGGAGAGTGAATCAGATTGGGAAGATTAAGGTGGATGGGGTGGAGCTAACGGATGAGGAGGTTCGGGAGGGGATTGTTGGTTTTTATGAGCTTTTGTTTAGGCGTCTAGTAGAGGGATAGCGCCCGGGGGTTGATGGAGTGGTGTTTAGTGGGCTCTCCTTTGATACAGTCATACTCACTGTAGTAAATGTATTGTAGAAATTTAATGTATAAAGAGAAATAGAGAATTGTATTATTGATTGATATAATGTTATGGTTACAATGATTCCTATATATAGGAGAGGGTGAGTGTGTAGTAGGTGAGGAGTAGGTGAAGTGGAGGTGGTAGTGGTGTAGTGGGTTTAGTGGAGTAGGTGAGGTGGTAGTGGTGTAGTGGGTTAGGTTTAGTGGAGTAGGTGAGGTGGTAGTGGTGGTAGGTGATGGTAAATTCTAACAGGCGTGATTTGTAAGTTGGATATTGAAAAGGCTTATGATAATGTCAATTGGGATTTTTTGATGTCTGTTATGAACCGGATGGGTTTTGGGGTTAAGTGGCGGCGGTGGATTTGGTTTTGCATTTCGATGGTCCGAATGTCTATTTTGGTGAATGGGATGCCGGCATGTTATTTCCGAACTTTTCGGGGTTTGCGGCAGGGGGATCCATTGTCTTCGTTGCTGTTCATTCTTGTCATGGAGGCGCTGAGTCGATTGTTATCTCGAGTGGTGCAGGACGGCTTGCTGGAAGGTTTTTCACCGGGGGTCGGGGTTTGTGTTTCTCACCTTTTGTATGCTGATGATGCTTTGATTTTCTGTGGGGTTGATTCGGAGCAAGTAGGCAATTGCGCGGTGTTTTGCTTTGTTTTGAGGCGGTCTCAGGTTTGAAGATGAATTTGGCCAAGTCAGAGTTAATTCTGGTAGGGGCGGTTGACCAACTTTTGACTTTGGCAGCCTTTTGGGTTGTAAGGTGTCTCATTTGCTGGTGTCTCATTTGGGTTTGTTTTTGGGGGCTCCTTATAAGGCGAAAGGGGTGTGAGATGGGGTGTTGGAAAGAGTACAACGTCGGTTGGTAGGATGGAAGAGGCAATATTTGTCGAAGGGTGGGAGGTTGACTTTGTTGAAGAGTGTTTTGAGTAGTGCTCCGACTTATTTTATGTCGGTTCGTGTCATTCCTATGTCTGTGGCTTGTCATTTGGAGAAGCTGCAGCGAGATTTTCTGTGGGGAAGTGATGGTAGGGAGTTTCAGTATAACCTTATTAGTTGGGACCAGATTTGTTGTCCTAAGGAGGGGGGGGGTTGGGGGTGAGAAAGTTGTGTAAATTTAACTTGGCCTTATTGGGGAAGTGGTTGTGGTGGTTTTCTAATGAACCGGATCAGTTATGGCAGAGGGTGGTAGCTTCCAAATATGGTTTAGGGAGGGGTGATTGGCATACTAGGAAGGTGGGAGGTTCTCATGGGTGTGTGTTGTGGAAAGGTATTTGGTTGGGTGGGGTTGGGTTTTGGGATCTAATCCAATATCGAGTGGGTAATAGGATGCGTGTGCGGTTTTGGAAGGATCGGTGGTGTGGGGAGATTACTTTACAGGAGCATTTTCCTTTGATTTTTCAGTTGGCAATGGATCCTAATGTGATGGTGGCTTCGTATTTGGGTGGTGGAGGTGAGGCGCTGGTTTGGGATGTAGTGCTTCATCCGCAGACTCAGGATTGGGAGCTTGGACAGTTGGTGGATTTGTTGGCATTTTTGTATGGGGTTCGGCTTGGCCGTGAGGAGGATGTTTTGGTTCGACGGGCCCCTCGTGCGAAAGGTGTTTTTTCCGTCTCGTCATTTTATGGGACTTTGTGTGGCGATGGTGGCAGGTCTTTCCCTTCGCGTCATGTGTGGGTTTCTAGTGTTCCGTCGAAGGTGGCTTTGTTTGTATGGACGGTAGCATTTGGTAGGTTATTGACTATTGATAATCTGATTCGTCGGCATCACATTTTGGTGAATTGGTGTTGCATGTATTGTGCGGATGCAGAGACAATGGATCATTTAATTATTCACTGTCCGCTTGCTTCTTGTCTGTGGGCGCTTGTTTTTTCTTTATTTGGCATGGTGTGGGTGCAACCAAAGCAAGTTCTGGATGTGCTTCGGTGTTGGGGGGGTGTCGAGTTGGGAAGCACCAGAGGAGAGCCTGGGCATTAGCTCCTTTGTGTTTGATGTGACTGCTTTGGTTAGAGCAGAATCGTCGGGTTTTCCAAGGGAGGGCTCAGTCGATTGTTCAGTTACAGTCTCGTTTTTGTGGTATTTTGTACAGTTGAGTGTTGGGATGGGTAGATCCTAATTTATTTGCTGTTTTAGACTTTGTGAATGATTTAGTTGGTTAGGTCCCTATTTGAGGGTTCGTTTTTTGTATTTGTTTGGCATCTCCTTGATGCTTTCTTAATAAATCATTATTTATCAAAAAAAAAAAAAATCACCTTCCAAAGTCTGCTGTAGCAACCCCAATACATAAACACACAAAAACAATATATACCAAATCTGAACGGTGCAGACTCCAAGAAAAATTATTTATTTATTTTTTTGTGGATAGAAAAACCAAACACTACCATGGTCTTGGGCATCTATTATAGAAAGTTATCTTCTTGGATTGTTATCTCCTCCTCAGAAAGCTCTCATTGTTGCCAAAGCACCAACATGCCAAGCGTGCATCTTCGATTTGACATGATGCATGGTGGCTTCTGTAATTATAACCTCACGAACCACCTCAAATAGAGGGGAGAAAGAGAGAAGATGAGCAATAATCAGAAGAAAAGGAATTTTCAAATAGACGGTTTCAGCACAACATGGTGGTTGATCCTAAGTGTGACTACATAAATAGGTTATAGAGAAAATTTATACAAAATTTAAGCACATCAGGTTCTCTCTTCATCCTTGGCTGTTACAAAGTGGAAGAAATTACTAGTTTTGAGGTTTTTTTTCTTTTTCTTTTTTTTGAAATTGAGAATTTTTTTGAATCGTCTTTGAAACTGAGAAACTTTGCAGTTTTTGTAATGACCCCGTCCCACATCAGGAGTTTGCAGTGGTGAGCTTGGGTATTTAACTAGGAACAATGAACTTAAATGACATCCCTTGGCTAGCCCTTTTGGGTGAGTTCCTGTAGTTATTACTTTGGTATTAAAGCTGACCCATGCGCATTGCGCACTACAGCGTGGGCTCAAGGACCATCACCGTTGTGAGAAATTTTTTCTGTTTTCAACTTAGAAATTTCATAATTTCGAAATTGAGAAAATTTCTCAATTATTATTATTATTATTATTATTATTATTATTATTACTATTTTTTTTTACATAATAATTTCATTTTAAATATGGATCTTATTTGATAGATCTACAAAT